CGCCGTCTCAACTAAAAATAGAAAGAAATTAATTGACCAACTAAAAATATATATAGAAAAAATTAGCCGGGCATGGTGGCGCATGCCTGTAGTCCCAGCTACTTGGGAGTCTGAGGCAGTAGGATTGCTTGAGCCCAGGAGATTGAGGTTGCTGTGAGCTAGGCTGACGCCATAGCGCTTACTCTATCTAGCCTGGGCAACAAAGTGAGACTCTGTTTCATAAATAAATAAATAAATAAATATTGGATAGGCTAAAGAATAAGACTGTGTCTGATCAGATACAGTTTAATACAGGGGTCCTCAACTTTTTAAAGAGGGCCAGTTCAGTGTCCCTCAGACCATTGGAGGGCCAGACTGTAGTTTAAATAGAACTATGAACAAGTTCCTATGCACACTGCACATATCTTATTTTGAAGTAAAAAAACAATGGGCAAAAACACCCGCATGTGCCCACGGGCCGTAGTTTGAGGACACTGGTTTAATAGAAGTAATAGTACAGTTTCTACTTTAAATCTAAACAATCAACTAAAAAAGATGAGAAAGGGAAAATTATAGTTAACTATCATCTGTGTGGATAAAATTTTGGTATTTTAGTTGATTAAAAGCTTAACGTGAATAAGACATGAATGTACCTGCCTAAAAGCTAACTCTATCTTAGGTGACATGGACAAAGTATCTTGGTCTTTGGCGAAAATCTGTTACTTGGCCTTGGCTTCGGGTCTTAGCTCTCAGAATGCCTACTTCAATATTACTTCCATCATCTTTGAACCTCAGCATGGTTGCGTTCACATGTTCATAAAGGTTGTCCATATACCTTATCAGTCAACAGTGTCGCCGATATGAGTATTATTATGATTATAGAATATTCATTTTCAGATACCAGCAAGTATTCTAGATGTAACCTGAGTGAAGACCATCTAACTTGTTTGTTGAAATTCTATCAAAGTATAAATGTATAGTAATTATTGATGGGTAAAATTCTGTAATAATTGCTGATTGTGAAAGATTTTATTTTATGCTCAAAATCAAGACAATTGTTAAGGGGAATGAGGGGTTGATTAATGGTACAAAAATACAGTTAGAAGGAATAAGTTCTCATATTTCATAGCACAGTAGGTTGACTACAGTTATAAATAATTATTGTATATTTCCAAATAGCTAGAAGAAAT